GGGGTGGGGGGATCCAGATCTCTCAGTGGGTTTTATCCAAAACCCGAAGTGCCAGTGACAAAGCTAGATGGAACGTCACCAACACCCACAACTCTCACCCCTACTGGTGCCCTCCCAGCAAGGGAGGCACCAGCCCAGTGAGAAAAGAAACACTTAGATCTGGAGAGGCGGTTATTTCTGGCCGCCAGCAACTCCTTCTAAGAAACATCTTTATCTGACCTTCTCCTATTCAGAACATATTCTTACACCAACTTCTTTTTGGAAACTCTTTGGTACTGTGCTTCATTAACCCCACAGCCACCACACCTTCCCTCTGACCACCACAAAGTTGGAAACTTGGGCTCTAAGGTACCGCCGCGTTTCCCTAGCAACCGAGCCCACGACGGTCGCCGGAAGAACCTGTGATCACGTGCCCCCAGAACTTCCGGGTTTGCACCGTGACTTCCGGTTGTCAGAATTCCCCCAGAAGCGGCGGCGTCCAAAGAGGGGAAGCTGTGCAGTCCTAAGTCGCCGTGGCCCGGGTGGTGGTGGGCTCCGGGTGGGCTTGCGGCGTCCTGGCCTGGCTGCCATGCATCCGCGGCGGCCGGACGGATTTGATGGATTGGGCTACCGGGGTGGTGCCCGGGACGACCAGGGCTTTGGCGGCACCTTCCCTGCAAGGTCCTTCAGCTCTGGGTCGGACCTGGGCCACTGGGTGACGACTCCCCCAGACATTCCCGGCAGCCGAAACCTGCACTGGGGCGAGAAGAGCCCGCCCTACGGCGTGCCCTCTGCCTCCACCCCGTACGAAGGCCCCGCGGAGGAACCATTTTCCGGCGGCGGCGGCGGCGGCGTGCAGGGGCAGAGCAGTGGTGAGGGCTGTGGGGACCGAAGCAGGGATGGGTGGGTGACGGAGCCAGGGCTCGCGGCCTGCAGACCCCGGAAGCTGCGCAAGGGGTACCGCCTCCGGCCCCTTCTGCGCCTATCGCGCGCCACACCCTCTGCCCTCCTTTCGTCCTCTGCCTCTGAAGCGTACTTCCTCCCTCTTCCTCACCCTGGATCACCTCCAGAAAAGACATCTGCTTTAGCCATGGGGTGCCATCGTAGGAATTTTTAGGGGGGTTTGGCCTGAGTGAAGAAAGGGGATAGGATTATTTGTTATTTGATTCACGTTGGCAAGTGTATTTTCTCGATTTAATTAATGAGTTAATGTACTCGTAGCTTTGTGAAAGAGAAAGCCTGTTCCGCCTAGGCGGATTTGGGTTCAAACTTGGCTCTGCCATTCATAAGCTTATAGGCTTTTGTAGCCTCTGTGAGCCCTCAGTTTTCTCATCTTTAACATGTGTAGAAGAATACAGTATGGGACACAGTCGGGATATATAAATATATAAAAATGTATGTCTTTTTCTTTTAAATCACAGTTGTATCTATTTTGTAGATCGCTAATCTAGATAGGACTTTGGAATCAAGATAAAATTAGCCTTTATGTCAGAAGACCTGTTTTAATTTCAACACTGCATGATCTAGATATTTTCAACATCCTTTTTACTCATAAAATGTAAATAATGGCTGCCTCTTTCCATTCTGAAATTGTTAGAATAAGAAATTGATTATATAATTAAACATTAAATTTATTGTAGAAATTAGCTTTATTCTCATTTCCTCGATTTTGACTTGGAATTAAAATAATATTTATTTGAGTTAATTGGGAGAAACAGACTTTAATGAATATCTAAAGAAGAAATGAGGATGTGAAGAAGGTTAGATGACTTATCCAGTGTCATATTATTGGCTTTTTGTTTCTTATCTAGTTTTCTTTCTGTTGTGTGTTACTGGTCCAGAAGAATTCTGGAAAACTTTTATGTTATAAATTAAATAATTCAAAACGTATATACAATTACTACCTTCTTAGGCAGTAAAGTTTATATTTTTATTTTTTCATAAGATATGCTTTGATGGTTACAGTGAGGAGGAGCTCATTAACAAAACCAAGGGTTTATTTTGCATCTTTAACAGGTGGGTAAATGTAACTTTGTAACAAGGATAGACACTTGAGGGACTGACTTAGTTAATAACCGTAAACCTTCCTAACACCTTCCAGAAAATTATAGCGTCGTTTTCTGTTAGTATTTGGGGATGATCCATATACTCAAAAAGGGTAAAATCTGAAAGGAAGAAAGTACCTTAATGGGGTAAAATAGACTTTCCATCTAGGTTGTACATTTTTCAAGGTTGAAACAAACAGTTTCACCAGGAATATCTTACATAGACTTTTTCTGACTGAAAGGCAGTACTGAAGGCAATTGCTTCATCTGAAAAAGCATAGGAGAGAAAGAGAATTGTCCCTTGTGAATATTGTAGTATAGTTAAAATTTAATACTTAGTCCCTGGGGTCTTAATTGTTCACCATTATGACTTTGGGTTCTTTAGTCAAGGAGAAAAACTCTTTTTCTCTTTTGATGTATGCATAGGCATGTTTCCAATGTTGAACTTTTCTAATAACACTACAGAAATGCCATCAGTAGTAGCATATATTAATTGGCATAGTTTATTGGGTAAATACACGATGCCAATTAATTTAAGTTATTCTCAAACTATTTACAACTTGAGAAGATAGGGGAAAAGTGCTGTATTTACCAATTTAGGTTAATTAATAATTTAGAAGTACTTTACTTGCAGCTGTTTGTTTAACCAGGTGCTCTTCATCAATAACAGTGAATAACTAGTTTTACACCCTGGGACATAAAGTTGTAGGTAGAAGTATCAGTTGTGACCATTCATAGTAAAATTTTTTATTTGATTGCAATCAGAAGTTGAAAAATGGTAACTCTTAGGTTCTATCCACATACTTGTTTGATTTGGCCCCTATGATATTTTAACACTTTGTGAAGTAGTGGGCCAATACTTAAAACTGGATGATTTTGCATAAAAATTAGAATATCTTTTTGAAAAATTACAATTTAGAATCTTCAGTCTCACTGTCCCATGTAGCAACAAAATTGGAGCTAAAGAACAGTTTAAAATGTCTACACCTGTCCGGGTTCGGTGGCTCAGCCTGTAATCCCAGCACTTTGGGAAGCTGAGGCGAGTGAATTGCCTGAACCCGCGGGTTTGAGACCCACCTGGGCAACTTGGTGCGACCTCATCACTACAGTAAATCAAATATTAGCTGGGCGTGGTGGCACGCGCTTGTAGTTCCGTCTACTTGGAAGACTGAGGCAGAAGGATCACCGGAGCCTGGCAGGTCGAGGCAGCGTTGGCCGGGAGCGTGCCACTGCACTCCAGTCTGGGTGACAGAGTGAGACTCCAACTCAAAAAAAAAAAAAAAATGTCTACACCTTGCAGCTCACCACAAACCCCAGCAGAATACTTCATTCATTTAAATAATCTCCCTGGCCCCTATCAGAATTTGACTTTGATGTTTAAATGAACAGCATGTTAATAAAAGGAGATTTTGTTTTTTGTTTTTACAGTAAACCTAAATATTGGTTATGAGTAATCTTATTCCTTTTATTTTAGAACAGTTGAATAGATTTGCTGGATTTGGTATTGGACTTGCAAGGTAATGTTTTATCTAAAGACTTTTTAAGTTTCAGAGTTTTTTCTTTAATTCATAATATGATTAGTATTGCTTCCTTTGGGTTGTTTCTTTGCGGTACAGAATTAAATATTAGATAATATTTTGTGGGGAAAATGACATTATTTAAAATCTAATACTTGATTTTTTTCCCCCAGTAAGAGTAGAGCCTCGTCATTCAGTTTTATAAACACAAAGTAATTTTGTAATGAATATTATAACAACTTTCATGGGTCTATCTAAAGAATAAAATAAAATGCAGTCTCCCTCTCAAAAAAAGTAATTGTACAGTGAGCCTTCTCTCTAAATATTTGAATATTAACAAGATATTTAGCACATAGAGTTTAGATTTTGCCTATAATCAGTGTTTGGTGATCAGCATTAAAATATTTTTAATTTCTAATAATCATTTTGTTTGAGAGAAGATTTTAGTTATGGTTATTGTGATCTTTAGGGAAAACACTGATATTGCACAAGGCTTACATTTCATGCCTAAATAACCATCACCATTTTAAACATTTTAGCCAAGAAAAAATTCTTTATTTGCTTAGTTACACCTGAGAATGTTAATGTCAGTATAAATAAAATCTGTGTTTTTCATTCTGCGGCAGTTAATTTTTTTAGCCTCAGTGTTTATACACAAAACTTTTGTTCATTTGATAGAATATTATTATATGTGATTGTGTATGCATGCATGTATGTCATGTCACTCTTAGAGCTTAAACCCACAGCTGTAATTACTTTGTAGGGCATAGTCTCAAAAGAAATATCTGATACATAAAATAATAGTTAACATGGTCATTAAAAATCATATAACTTAAGTGCAAAGTACATCAAAATCAAAATCTTTAGAATGAGGATCATGAAGAACAAATGACTCTGCTGATAGCAACTTTGTTCAAAGGTCGTTTTCTGAAAGAGATAGGAATTAAATGACATTTAATGATGCCATTTAATTGTGTCCTTTCCCACATTAAACATAGAAAAATCAACCTCATTTGCCAGTTTGCAGATCTGGTTTTTATTATCCTCATATTGAATTTTGTTATTGGTAGAATCATTTGCAATCATGTCTAGATATTTTTTAAAAATCTATATGATTTAATTTCTTTTAAAAATTGGAGAATATAAAATAATGCATGATTCTTCAGGCAAGAATAGCTTGAGGTACATATATGTTGTAACTTAAATCTGTCTCTATTATAGGCACATATATCATAAATTATTTTTATATAGTCTCTTTACAGAAAATGTACTGGCCCATCCTTGCATTGTTCTACGCCGTCAATGTCAGGTAAATGTAATTTCTGTCACCCTCTAAAACAATAATCCTAGTCCTTAGGAGAAGTGCAGAACTCAGATAAATGACATGGAACTGCCAAGTGTTCCAAAATCTTTCATTTATCAGTTCCCAAACTGTTTGGTCTCAAAACCTCTTTAAAGTCTTAAAAATTATTGATGATCCCAAATAGCTTTGGTTTATGTGGGTCATATCTGCTGATAATTACCATTTCAGAAAATAAAATTGAGAAAATTTTAATGTATCTGCTTATGTCATTCATTAAAATATAAACCTATTAGATAATAAGATAACATTTTTATGAAGAATAACAATTTTGTTTTTGCAATTGTCTATAATGTGGGGCATAATAGAGGCAGCCAGATTCTATATATCTGTTTCTGTAGTTAGTCAGTCGTAATACATTTTTGTTGAAAGAAGCAAGAAAGTCCAGCCTTGCAGTGGAGTTTTTTTTTTTTTCTTTTCAGATAATTGTGGGTATTCTTTAAAATTGCACCAAAATTTACTAAGTGGTAGGGGTTTTTTTTTGTTTCTTTGTTGTTTCTTTGAGTTGGAGTCTCACTCTGTCACCCAGACTGGAGTGCAATGGCCGCTCCTGGCCACCGCAGCCTCGACCTGCTGGGCTCCGGCGAACCTTCCGCCTTGGCCTTCCAAGTAGCCGGAATTATAGGCATGCGCTCCTACGCCCGGCTGATTTTTTGATTTATTGTGGTGATGAGGTCTCGCTGCCCAGGCGGGTCTTGAACCCGCCGGCTCAGGCAGTCCACTCACCTCAGCCTCCCAAAGGTGCGGGATTACAGGCTGAGCCACCAAGCCCGGCTAAGTGGTAGTTTTTTAAAGGTTATTTGCCAGGTGAAATCTGAAATTGCATTAATAAACTTTTTATAGTTTGTTATATACAAAATCCATTGATCTGTGTCACATCTTGAATATATATTTTTGTCCATGCATGATTCTGTAACATTGTGCATTGGTTATTTGAAAACTACTGATTCACTGAGTTATATGGACTATGTAGATGTTAAGACACTTGATTATAAAATACCAAAAATTATCTTGATTAAAAATATTCCTGAGCCTGCGGGTTTGAGACCTGCCTGGGCAGCGAGACCTCATCTCTACAATAAATCAAAAAATCAGCCGGGCGTGGTAGCACATGCCTGTAATTCCGGCTACTTGGAAGGCTGAGGCGGAAGGATCGCCGGAGCCTAGAAGGTCGAGGCTGCGGTGGCTGGGAGCGGCCACTGCACTCCAGTATGGGCGACAGAGTGAGACTCCAACTCAAAAAAAAAAAACCTACTGATTCTACTAGAAAAGCCTTTAAATATTAAAGCTCTTGATGGTGAATATAAATTTTCCAAAATTAATTAATTAATTTTCCAAAATTCTGATTTTTACTTGAAAATTCAAGTTTATCACTGACAATAAATACTGTTAATTTTTTATAAAACCAACAGTCCTACTTTGTTCATTTTCAAGAATATATCTGTTCCAAGTGTGAATAACTATAACCTGTTAGTGTATTGTTCAAGCAAAAATGATGTTCCATGAAAAAAGTGGCTAGTTCAGCTTTCAGTTCCAGCATACACGTGATTTCCTCATGATAACCATCTTACTTCCTTATGCCACACACAGACTATTAATTAGAAAGAAGATGTGTACTCAGGGGTCAAGATTTCATAAAATTAATGTTTTTTATTGCTTTATCAAGGATATTCTTATTTGAAAGTTGCTTTTTCCTTCCTGTTAGTGTAGTGAAACATACAATAAGTGCAAAAAATATAGTCCGATGCTACTACATTAATTTGTGCTGAAGAACTAGCAGTTTTACCCACCATTGCTTTTACACCATTATTGAAAATGTGAACACAATGAAAAAGGCAAATGATACTTTAGTATCATTAAGAAAATAATTTGAATTTGTCAATCCCCTGAAAGGGTAATGGGCCCTTAGGGATTAGTGGACCACACTGTGGCAGATTCTATAATATAGCTTAACTTCTTGCAAAGTAATTTTTCCCATATTTGTTTACTGTTGGAGTTCAAAACAATACAGAGCATTACAAATTAATCTGCTCATGCATAATAGCATTGAAAATTAAGTATGGGTTTCCGGTCCTTGCTTCCACGATGACAAAAGAAGAAAAGTGGTCGTGCCAAAAAGGGCTGCAGCCTTGTGCAGCCCATTCGCTGCATGCTGCATGAACTGGGGCCAATGCCTGCCCAAGGATAAAACTATTAAGAAATTCATCATTTGAAACATGGTGGAGGCCGCAGCTGTTAGGGACATTTCTGAAGCGAGTATCCTCAGCACTTATGTGCTTCCCAAGTTGAATGTGATGTTGCATTACTGTGTGAGTTGTGCTGTTTACAGCAAGGTGGTCAGGAATTAGTCTCGTGAAGTTTCCAAGGACCAAACCCTCACCCTGATTTAGACCTGTGGGTGTTGCCCCACAACCTCCTCCAAAGCCCGTGTACAAAGCTGAATCCTTAGGGACTGAAGAACAGCTATCCTATGGAAAGAAATACAATGGAAATTATACTTAAATAAAAGAAAATTAAGTATGTATAGAGAAATAATTTAGATAGCATTTACATTATATATGCCTCAGAACAGTATATTTCAGATATATGTTTTACATTGTGATAATATCATATTGTGATGCAGTGTATACATACATATACACAACAAATACATTATTTTAAAATATTTAATAAAATAATATAGATAGAATGTGTGATGCATTCTGTTTTCTTTTTTATTTCACATAATAAATATTGTTTTTCATTCCCCTTCATAATTTACCAATTGATTACAGCCAGTAGCTTGAAAAATATTTGCCTAAAATAAGTGTGAGTAGGAAAATGTAATTTAATTGCTTAAGGCAACATAAATATCAAACCACAAGACCTTCTTTATTATAGTCTATATTACTATATGTATGATGAACTGGTCTTCAGATTATATTTATATAACTACATAGTCTATACCTTTAATAGATTATTTAAAGCATGTTCCAGAGTAATTTTGCTTATGTGTAATTTATGTTGACTTAGAATTTGACTTTTATTTATGCTGTAATTTCACTGTATATTTTCATGGTCTTGCTATTTCTTGACAAACATTAACAAAATAATCATGAAATATCTTTTTCATAGGTTAATTATCATGCTCGGCATTATCATCTCACTCCGTTTACAGTCATCAATATTATGTACAGTTTCAACAAAACTCAGGTGAGAATTAGTGTATGGATTCTGTTAAAGGTATATATGAATGTCATTTGGGCTTAATAATCATTAAAGCAAGAATCATTATTTTTAACTTGGTTAATAAAAGTATATTAACTGTTGTAGTAAAACTAAGGTAGCATAATGATATCTTTTAGACTCTCCCCAAATTTTTCTTAATTAATTTTTTTTTTTTTTTTTGAGTTGGAGTCTCACTCTGTTGCCCAGACTGGAGTGCAGTTGCCACTCCCGGCCACCACAGCCTTGACCTGCTGGGCTCCAGCGATCCTTCCGCCTCAGCCTTCGGAGTAGCCGGAATTACAGGCGTGCGCTACCATGCCCGGCTAATTTTTTGATTTATTGTAGAGATGAGGTCTCGCCTGCCCAGGTGGGTCTCAAACCTGCGGGCTCAGGCAATCCACTCACCTCAGCCTCCCAAAGGCACGGGATTACAGGCTGAGCCACCGAGCCTGACTTTTCTTAATTAATTTAGCAAACTACCAAGAACTGTGCTAAATTGTAAGACCACATTAATGGGTAAGAGAATCTCCCTGCTATCAAGAGATATTTAGATGTCTAGTCATAGAGACCAAAATTTAAACAGAAGATCGTGGTGCAGCAAGATAAATGCAACGTTAGATGTATAAAATGCTGTCAGAGTACAGAAGAAAGATATCTTATCAAAACTAGGACTGGACTCAGGTTATGGCTAGGAAAAACTTTGCGAAAAGAGACACCTGAGTTGTATTCTTATTGTCAAGAATTCTACCTCTTTATGATGTGGTTAGAGAAAAGGTTTTCTAAGTAGATATGCAAAGACAGAAGATACAGAGAGAGATTATAATGCTTGGGAATGGATTTAGTATAGTACCATGGGAGCTTGGAGGAGGGATTGAAAAGTAAGAGAAAGATCCAGATTATAAAGTACTTTCTAAGAACTATACTGTTGATTTTAAAAGCTATAAGAATACATTGAAGATGTTTTAGCAGTGACCAAAGTATCTTAAACAAACAGGTTGTTTCACAAATTTCTTAAAATTTACAATATACATTTCTTTACTTACAAATTTTGCTTCTAGGAACTTATCCCACATAGGTGTGTGTGTGTGTGTGTGTGTGTGTGTGTGTGTGTGTGTGTGTGTGTGTACATATATATGCAAAAATGTATATACAAGGTTGTCGTTGTGGCATTGCGTGTAATAATGAGATTAGAAATGATTAAATGTTCATCAGTAGGGTACCAGTAAAATAATTATGGTATGTTTATATTGTGAAACACTGTGTGGCCTTTACAATTAAGACAGTTCTGTGTGTACTGGTATGGGCCAATCTCTAGGATTTTTTTATATTTCAAGATAATGCTACCTTTTAAAAATGAATAAAACAAAAACATTTCTGTAACTGTACATATACACAGAGGTATACTTGTATATGTGTGGACAGTCTGTGAAGGATAAATAAGAAACTGCTGCTAGGGTACTGGAATGAAAAAGACAAATTTTTCTCCTGATACCCTATTGGTTCTTTTTATTTGTACCATGTCAATATGCTATTTATAAATAATTTAGATAAATAATAAGAGTATCACGATAGTATCGTGGAAAGAGGCAAGACTAGAGACAGTGAAACTTTTAATGTCAAGTTGATGTAAAGTAATAGCATAAAGATGGAGAAAGAGCATGGATTCACAAGATCTAAATGAGTGAATTTATAGAACTTGGTGACTGAGTAGAATGGAGGAGTGAGAGGAAGGCATTATCTGCATATGTGTTTTTAACACTGAGATGATGAAGCTGCTAACAAGGTTGATAGGAAGTACAGTGGGAAAGGAAATAATAGGTGTGGTGTGAGTGATATGGTTGAGTTAACCTGTAGATATATAAATGTTCCTCTAAAGGACAGGACTAGTAGAGAGTTGAGTGTATAGATATTAGGGCTATTAATAACTAGTTAATCATTAGGGACTTTAATTAATGGTAATTTTTTGGCCTAAACATAGGCCACCTAACACACTTTAAGACTTTTCTTTAAAACAATTCAATTGTAGTTCTCTACTAAGATTTCTATTAGAATAATGCTTTATTGGAAAATATCAGTAAACATTCAGTATCAAGTTTTACTTAGACTTTCTTTTGTATTTCATATTTTGGTGTTAACAGAAATAACAATAAATTTTGTTCATTTTAGGGACCAAGAGCCCTATGGAAAGGAATGGGAAGTACATTTATTGTCCAGGGAATCACACTTGGAGCAGAAGGCATAATTAGTGAATTCACACCTTTGCCAAGGTACCTTTTTGGCATTTCTTCTGTATAAGTTTTATATGACATTTTAATAAAATATGATAGTTTCTAAAAATACCTTGAATCTAAAAGGTTATCTGAAGTAGCTAAAAGAAGAAACAAAATAAAATTAGCTAATTACATCTTATTGAATTAGTGTGTGATAAAGAAAATACTTCCTGATCTAGTATCTATTGAGATATATCTTTTCGCTCCTAATGCTATGTGCTGGCAATTGCCAACTAAGGAACAAATGGGGATACTTCAGCAATTCCTGTTCTTTAAGTATCCAGTTTGGTGAGAGACATGTGAGAAAGATACAGTACATTGTGTGATTTGTGCTGTAATTAAACAAAAACTTTTCAGAGTCCAAGGGACACTTTACTTGGAGTCATTGGCAGGGATTAATAAAATAAATAAATAGCTGAAATCTGAGCTAGATCTTGAATTATGAATAAGAGTTGACCTGACAGAGAAAGCAGTTTTTCCAAGGAGAGGTGACAGGATGCTCAATGTTAAGGAATTGGATGGTCTAGGTAATAAAAAAGAAGTGGAAGTGTTTTGTAGTTGAAATATTGGGTATGTATGAAGTAGAATCATAAAAGTAGCTAAGGTAGTAAAGTATGATTGTGTCTTGGAAGGATTTTATTCTCTGTGGAGTCAGGAATCTAAAGTTTCTTTTTTGCTTCTTCTTTTTTTTTAACATATAGATGTTCTGATCAGGGATATACTCAAGTGGCAGTATTAAAAAAAAGGGATTGGTATAGGCAGACTTGTGGAGAGCTATTGTAGTAATATAGACCAGACTGAAAAAGTTTTGAACTATGAAACAATCAGACAGAAAAGGATGAGCTGAATAGGGATTTTTGAAATATAATTGATGATCATTTGTGTTGGCTTAGGATTTAGGGGTTATGAGATGTTGTCAGCAGTGACTGAGATTTCTGGATTGGAAAATGTTAACCAAGATGGAGAGTTCATGAAAAAGAATAAATTGGAGTGGGGGTGAAGATAAGAAATTTAACTTTCAGTAAATGAAGTTTGAGATTCTTGTAGGATATCTAGAAGGACATGTCTAATAGATAATTGGAGCCATGGATCAGAGTCTTAGAGGAAAATTGAAATGGAGGTTAGAGAAAAGTGGGAGCAGAGGTGTAGCTTTGAGTGTTGTTATAAAAGTAATAATTGAAGCATTAGAGTGGATGAAGTCACCTAAGGAGAAAATGTGGATTAATAATATAAAGTGGACCAAGGACAGAACCCTAGACAACTAGTGTGTGCACACATGTGTACCATGCTCATACTTGTGTGTGTGTTTGTCGTGGGAGAGGCAGTTTAGGGAGGTACTTAGAGATTCCCTCAGAAAAAATTGAAATAAGTGTACAACTCACCATAAAAAAAGGAGTGGACAGAGGTGGTAAATAAAATAATGGGCAGGCCATGTGTGGACTAAGAAAAGTGTTGGATTCTGACTTAAAGCCTGCCACCAGATGCAGCTGTACAATTGAAGTACATCAATTCACTGATAGGTTTTGTTATGAATCTGCAAGAAATTGATTTATTATGGTCTCTGTGCAGTCGAACCTCACTGCTAATGTTAATCTGTATTTGCAGCCACCCCAGCACTAGCATCACCGCCTCAGCTCCACCTCAGATCATCAGGCACTAAATTATTATAAGGAGCATGCAGCCTAGAACCCTTAAGGAGCAGTTCAAAACAGGGTTCTCGCTCCTGTGAGAATCTAATGCTGCCACTGATCTGACAGGCAGTGGAGCTCAGGTGGTAATACTAGCCATGGGGAGTGGCTCTAAATACAGATGAAGCTTCACACACTCACCCTCTGCTCACCTTCTGCTGTGAAGCCCCATTCCTGACAGACCATGAACCCATATGGGTACCAGTTCATGGCTTGGGGGTTGGGGACCCCTGCTTTAATATCAAAGACCATGTAAATAGTTGTTATACTGCATTGTTAGGGAAAAATGTCAAGGAAAAAAACTATATATGTTCAGTACAAATTCAGCCATGTATTTTTTAAAATTACTTTTGATCCCCAGTTGGTTGAACTCATGGATATGGAAGGTCAACTGTCCTAATTGGTACATTATTGATTCAGGTCCTGGCTACCTCACTTTTTATTTCTGGGACCTTAGTCAAGTAATGTCTGTCTAAAACAAAGATGAAGGAGTAATGTTAACTTCAGGTCAAAGAGAAGAAAAAGATAAATAGGAATGGGAAGGCATAGATTTATAAAATGTTATTATCTTCCTTAATAAGTAGACATACAGACCTGTCAGTTGCCTGGGAATGTATTTTTTTGTAGTCATTTCAAATCTTACTAAAGAAGACACACATGATAATTCTTTATTGTACTTTTCTACTTTCACTTGGATAATTTTGATAATAAATCCCACTCATTAATTCATTTATTTACTTAACTAACATATCCTGAACACCTGCTACACAGGACCTACCAGTTCCTATGCTAGAAATCAGATTTACAGTGAGGAAAAGAAGCGAATCATGTCAGGAAGCTCAGAATCTAGTATAAGGACATTATAAAGTAAAATAATTCAGTTAGTGAATAAATTAACAAATAAATAATTGCAAACTGGAATTTGTTTTCTGAAGGAAAAGAATATAGTTCTGTGAGAGTATTAAATGGTTAGGAACAGATCCCTGGTAACATGACACTTAAGCTAGATCTGTGTGGTGAATAGAAGGCACAGACCAGTTTGTAGAAAAATGCGGTGGCAGAGAGAGGGGAGGAGCATGGAGAACTCAGTAACTGAGAGAAGGCTCATATGGCTGGAAGTTAGAGGGCAAGATGGAGAATGGCTGAACAAGTAGATGGGAACCAGACTATGTGTAGTCTTGTAGGCCATTTTAAGGATATTGAAAGTTTTCAGCAAGGTCATTGACATCAGATTTATGTTTTCAAAGAATCATTGTAACTAGTTGAAAAGATTGCATGAGAACCAAAGAGAATAAAAGGAGACATCTTAGTAAGTAATAACAATAATCAAGGTGAGAAATAATAGTCACTAGGATCAGGGTGGTATCTTTTGAGACAGAAGTAAGGGGACAGTTTTGAAATATACTTAGGTAAAATTGATAGAATTTGGTGATGGATTGGGAATGGTAGATGAAAGAAAAGGCAGTATTGAGGCTGACTTCAAAGATATTGGTTTGTATAACTAGATGTCAAATAAAGCCATTTTTTTGAAGTACAGTGTGAATATCTTTTTTAAAAATTATTTTTTCTTTTTTTGGAGAAGTTTGACCTTTCTTGGGAGAAAGCAGAGTTTTAGCAAACAAGACCACAAAGTATTAACTTAGAGCAATTCACATAAACTACCACACGAGGAGGATGGACTCTGAGTTCCCCTAGCCTGGAATTTGTTAATTGCATAATAATTTGTAAGGTAACAGGGCAACAGTATAGATTCACCAATATTTAGTTTTTAAATAATGTTTTTGATCAAATCAGAGAGAAAAACAGCAGAACTATATAGTATCCATTAAGTCATCAAACTTATAGTTCCTCAGTAATTTTACTTTTTAAGAAAATGTATGTCACCCAGAATCAGTGTTTGTGATCTCTTTCTTTATCTATTGCCAAACCATACCCAATCCTCTCTCTCTAACCTTCCCCCAGTTGAAGTAAGTTTGACCAGGTGTGGTTCTAGCCCAAAGCACCCTTTACTTTATTCACATGTGACTTCCTCACATTATTAACATAGAGTAGGAATTCCTATAACCAAGGCTATCTGTGTGGTTCAGCCTTTCACAAAACCCATTTGGTTAAACTCCAACTTAGTTTTGACTCATTGCACATTTCTGGTTGTACCAATGTAAACATCTTGCAGTTTTTTTCCAACATTTCTCTGAATTTGCTTATTACTTTAAACACATTAAACACAGTGGGATTTTTGTCAAATACAGTCAATTTTTTTTTCTTTTTCTGATTAACAGCTCCTGAGTAGGGAACACTAAAAGAATTTAGGCAAAAAAGAAAGATTTTAGGTTTGATTTTTGGGCAAGCTTATTTTCAATTCCTTTATCATATCCTGGTAGTCTGTAAGCAAATTATGTGAAGCTGGCATATAAAGGAGAAGTCTTAACTGAAGGGAAATTAATTTGGGAGATTTTAAAGCCATAAACTTGGATGACAGTGCATAAGAAAGCAGTAACACCATATAGAGTAAGACATAAAGAGGGCTTTAGGAAATCCAGCCAAGGTGGCTGGGTTAAGAAAGATAATTCTATAAAGAAGTCAGAAGGAGACACCAGAAGGAAGGATAAAAAACAAAAGCGTATGGGCTAGTGGAATACGAGGGATAAGAGTATTTCAAGAAGAAGAGAGGAACATGAGCATCTCATGGCTGCTGGAATGTCAAGTAAGTTATAGACTTTAAAATGCCCATTGGGTAGTGGCATGGAGGTTATTGGGGACCTTGGTAAGAGCTGGATGATGGGGTAGAAGCCAATTTGGGGTTGGTTCAGAAGTGAATGGAAAATAAAGACATGGAAATAGCAAGTTTAGAAAACTGGCTCTGATGAGAGGTGAAGAGAGGTAACTGAGAGATGAGTGACTGGACTTAGGTTGAGGAAATAATTTTTTTTTAAGAGGAAGGCTATTTGACCATCTGAAAATTAAGGACTACTGAAATACAGAGACATTTAAAAATTTTATTGCTTTTGTGTATTGATTATGTATATGAGTATGTATTTTTATCTGTTAAATGGAAAACTAGACTTGTTTTAAGAAAAGCGGTTTTCTTAATATTGTTGTTCATTTGCAAGAGCATTTTTTGGCTGAAAATAGTTAATTTAAATATGCATGTTTGTCATTTGATAATGAACTATAGCAAGGTTTAATCACATGTTTTTACACTTACCTTCTTTACTAAAACATTTAAATATGCCAATTTAAATTCCTAGAGTTGTAGCAATACATTTTACCCATTTGATAAAGTAGGAGAGAACAGATAAAAGGAAGTAAAAAGCATTGTTGTTAATACTTGTTTCTAAGGCTCCTTTTCTCTTCTTTTATCTTAATAATCTTAAGAATTGGCATTAGTAATTAAAGGGGAAATGATGTAGTCCTTATAGAAACATAGGTCACAGACCCATCTGTCCATAGTGTGTATGACAGTTTTATTCTTAAAAAATCACAATAGGCCGGGCTTGGTGGCTCAGCCTGTACTCCCAGCACTTTGGGAGACCGAGGTGAGTGAATTGCCTGAGCTCGCAGGTTCGAGACCTGCCTGGGCAACTTGGTGAGACTTCAGCTTTACAATAAATAAAAAATTAGCCAGGCGTGGTAGCACGTGCCTGTAGTTCCAGCTACTTGGAAGGCTGAGGCGGAAGGATCGCCGGAGCCCAGCAGGTCGAGGCTGCAGTGGCTGGGAGTGGCCACTGTACTCCACTCTGGGTGACAGAGTGAGACTCTAACTCAAAAAAAAAAAAATCACAATAACCTGTGGTAATACTTTCTGTGGCCATGAGTAATAGCTGCGCCAAGCTGGTTTACAAAGCATGTAGCATATTTTGTTTTATAATTATAAAGTAAATGCCAGTATGATGGGAGGCCTAATCTATTTTTACATTTTTCACTTAACCATTGAACATCATTTCAGCTACATTTTCTGTGTTTTGCAGGCAAAATAAGTATCCTAATATTAACTTAATCAGAGTTCGGCGCAGAAGTTTTCCTCTCATCAGTCAGAGTTTGCCTCTCTTCAAGTGAACAGTGCAGCTTTATGTCATAGGCTGCTGTAGACCTGGTTTTTCTGAGCTTAGAACCCAGTTCCACACTAACTGGTTGTGTGACTTTGGATAAGTTAAGAACGCTCTCTAAGCCTTCCTTCATCTATGTAATAATGTCATTATGAGCACTAGAAGTAATTTATGCAAAGTACTTTGCATAGTACATGGCATATAGTAGGTGCTCAATGAGATAATAAAATATAATAATGGTTATAAAATCAATGTCATAATCTAATTGTACTAAGAAAAGGCATTTTGGCAAAAATGTAGTGTGATATCCTGCTTTATAGTTACTTAATTTTGTTTTTAAATTCTCATTCTTTATACCTTGTAAACCCTTCCTCCCTCCCCCCTTTCTTTCTCTCTCTCTCTCTCTCTCTCTCTCTCTCTTTTTGTGTAGATGTTTCACTCTCATGCCCAGGCTGGAGTACAATGGCACAATCACAGCTTACCACAGCCTCGATCTCCTGGTCTCAGTCAGTCTTCCCACCTCAGCCTCCCAAGTAGATGGGACTATAGGGGCACACCCCCATGCCCGGATAATTTTTTTTGTTTTGTTTTTTAAATAGAGATGAGATCTTGCTATGCTGCCTAGGCTGGTCTCGAACTTTTGGGCTCAAACAGTATTTCTGCCCCAGCCTTCCAAATTGCTGGGATTATAGGCATGAGCACCATGCCTGACCCCTTTTTTCTTTTTCTGTCTTTATCCTGTTCTTTGTTTCCTTTTCCTTTATCTATTCTTTCTTTTTTTCCTCTCATTTTTATATTTCTTTCTTTATCATGTTTATATTTATAATAAGTTATTCATACATTTTCCTTCTATGTCAACCTCTTTTTATCAACTCATACACAGTTTCTTTATAAACCACCACAATTGTTTATAGTGTGTCCAAAAAATGAAAATTAGACTGTATTTCTCCTACAGATTAAAAAAAAAAGCAAGTTACCTTTTTGAATATTAGTCTAATACAAGATATTTTAAATAACATGGCTTTTTAAAAATTTAAATGTATTTTTATGTTTTAGGGAGGTTTTACACAAATGGAATCCTAAACAAATAGGAGAACACATTCTACTGAAATCGTAAGTATCAAAAATGGCTTTTTATTGGACATTTTAATTAATTTTTAGTGTTAGATCTGAAAAAAGTATTAAATAAATATTACAAAGGAAATTAGAGCAGTGAAATGTTTGTGGGACTAGAACCTCAAAGGACAAGTAATAGATAGTTTAGGAATAAATCCTGAAATACATATTATCCTTAAAACAAATTTTACTAATTCGAAAGATTGGAATTACAGACTAATTTTTTGTGTATTCTTAGGAAGTTAGCAATTTTAAAAATTTATTTAACCCAAATATCCAGGAAAAGTATTACTATTTTGTTGCTAATCAAAGATACAAATTTATTTGTATGGTGATGATTATACCCCAAAACCCTTAGTGACATTAAAATGTAATCCTAAAGGCACTTAGTGATTTTACAATAGTAACCATTTTTGTAGATTAGAATTTTATTCTTCACTTTTTAATTTTTTTTGAAGATTGTGAATTGGAAATCCCCCAGCTTGCTGGCTCCCTCAATGGGACATTCCAGCACATTATTACTTAGTGATGATCCATTCACCTTGAAACTACTACTTGCCAGGACCTGGCCCATAAGGGTTAGGTAAGTCCCACCTTGATATTATTTTAAATAATTGTATTTTGCAGACTTGCAAAGTTGTAATATATGTCTAAATATTGGTAATAGAAACAACTTTGCAAAAGCTGTATAATGTTTTTTAATAATAAAAGGGGACTTCTCTCACCATTGAAGACTGGCTTAACTCAGCTGGATGGGAAATCTGGGAAAAAATATGATAATAAGATAAAACAGGAAGGTATACTTGTGCAAATATTCCTAAAAGTGCAAGCTATGGAATGGATCCTTTATCCTAAGTTTTAAGCAGTAGATTTATAGACTGCATTAGCTATGTGTAGGTAGATATCCAAACAGTGAATGATAAATGGGCCTTCCTTTTATATAGTTAAAAGAAAAATCTATTTTCTTTGCCGGCAGTCTTTGATTTTCTTCATCTCTGTTGAATAAAGCATCCAGTGTTACAGGTTTCTGAAGTTAATGTTTTTAGACTACAGGTATTAATAGTTGAAAACCTTAAAAATATTATTTTAGCTTGAATAAGAATTATGTTGATATATTAAGGCAGGTATTAGAAAATTAATATAAGCATCTTGTTTCAGTCTACCAATACATTTGCTTTAATTTCTACAGCCTAACTTATATGGTGGCAATGCCTTTTTATTCAGCAAGTCTAATTGAAACAGTGCAGGTGAGCTATTTTTTATTGTCATTGTTTAATTAAAAATATTTTCAGGTTAGTCTATATATTGTGGTATGTCTAATTGTTTAACCAAAAATTTTCAGACAATATCTTAAAATGTGAATTACATAGCTACTATACATATATCACATACTGCTGATCTGTATATTTCCATTGCAAACTTCAGTCACTCTTCTAGTCTTAATTATTTTTATCCTTCCCATACACTTCATTCAGATATCTCAGAGCCCAACTTATTACTTGCTCTGAATACAAAGAATCTATACACTTTTTAAGGCCCTTATATACTCAGATGATGATAGCGTACCATAGGACAGTAAATTAATAATTACCTGAGCAGCTGAGCTCGGTGGCTCAGCCTGTAATCCCGTGCCTTTGGGAGGCTGAGGTGAGTGAATTGCCTGAGCCCTCGGGTTCGAGACCCGCCTGGGCAGCGAGACTTCATCTCTACAATAAATAAAAAAAATCAGCCAGGCTTGGTAGCGCGCGCCTGTAATTCCGGCTACTTGGAAGGCTGAGGCGGAAGGATCGTCGGAGCCCAGCAGGTCGAGGCTGCGGTGGCCGGGAGCGGCCACTGCACTCCAGTCTGGGCGACCGAGTGAGACTCCAACTCAAAAAAACAAAACAAAACAAAAAACAAAAATAATTACCTGAGCATAAATGTGATAGATAATCATCCTAACATGGAGAAAGTGTCCCTCTCAGTAATTTACTAACAGCATTCTTTTTAAATATCCCTTTTAGGGAGCATGCAATTCTATTGGTGTGATAAGTCCTACAAAGCTAAAGCAATTTCTTCCTAGCATTTTTCATTCTATATGCTTGTTTCACTATTCATAACCACGTGGTGGCGCTTCAAGTACATTGAATTAAATGTTACAGCCTTCTTCCTGCACTTAAAACTGTACTATTTGTACACCTGTCTTCTATTTCCAACATCAGATCTTCTAGCATATTTTTTCTTTAATGTGTGTGAGTGCCCTCTCTCTAAAAACCCCCACTGTATCAGCCTTTACTCTTCCAGTGACTTTTCCCCTTAGTTTCTTTTCTAGTCCTCTCATTGATCTTTGATTTTTATTGTTGTTAGAACTAACTTCAGTTAACTAAAGTTAACATCTTATGACCCAAATACCCTTTTCTGTCTCCTTGAACTTGGCATTGTGTTAAATGATATAATCTTTGTATGGAACTGTGGGGTTTACAGAATTTTCATTCATATGAGATATCCCTGTTGTAAAAAAAAAAAAAGTAAAAGATAGCAGGAAGGCAATTTTTTTTTTCTAGGCAGGCAACTATTTAAGGAAAAACAAGCAACATGCTTTATTGGGGGAAAATAAATTTTAGTTTGAGACAGACCCATATCAGGATCACATTTTTCTGCTTAAATTAGATCTGGGACTTTAGACAAATTTCTTGACCTTGATAATTTTATTAATTTTTTTCATCCATGAATTTAGAATAGTATTTTAATAACTGATTATAAAAATTATATGAGTTATTTATGTAAGTACCCAGATGGCTATGATAGGGTTTTGTTGTTTTTCTGTATATGTGTTTTTTAACCCAATATTCTCCTCTTGCTTTTCTGGCTGTAGGTTCTACCTGCTAACTTCTTTTGTCTGCTTTTCTAGAACTTTGTTGTTGTTGTTGTTGTTTCCCTTAGATTTCTACTTTCTTTAACATCTTCTTTCAGTATCATCTCTTCAATTGTACCCTAGGCGCAAACCTTGACTCTCTGTTTTTTTACTATACTCATTATCATGAAAGAGCTTATTTATTCACATAAATCCTTTTAACTCCGATCTTTATGTGAATTAAATCTTCACCTCAAACTCAACTTATACGAACAACCTGGTCTTATTCCTCTGAAATCAGTTCCCTTTAGAGCCTCTTCTCCCTTTTTGTTAAAGACACTATTGTTATCTTTACCCAAAATACACAAAACTTTAGGGGTTTTTTTGGTAAATTTTTTATTTTTATTCATCGTAACTAATCAGTCATCATGAACTTTCTAGTCGTCCATTTCTTCATTAAGAGTCCTGTTCTAGACGCTGCATTTTAAAAATTCATTCTACATACTCAAGAGGATTAGTGTTTTAAGTTGCAGTACTTACATTCTTTTGCTAATTAAGGATTTATATTGACTTATATTCTCTAAGATCAATTTCAGACTTCTTAGTACAATATTAAATCAAGGCTTTAATGAATGTTCTTTACCATTTCAGCTTATCTTCCTTAACTGCTAGACTTAAAGGAAAATAGTCAAGTATTTATTGAGTGCCAACCTGTATTGGGCACTGTTGTAGACTCTGAAGATACAGCTGGAAACAAAACAGACATAAATACTCTGCCTTCACAGCACTTTCATTCTTGTGGGGAAGATATGGTGATAAGTGCTAAAGAAAGCAAAAGATAAAGCAAGAAAGGCAAATAGAATGTGTAATGGGTAGGGAGAGGTGGTTAATATATTGTTTTTAAGGTTAGGAAAAACCTGAGAATGTGACATTTGAGTAAATGTATGTTGGCTAGGAACAACATAGGTGTTTGGGAGAACATTCTTATTTTTTTAATGGTGTGCATTTATTTTTTATTTATTTTTATTTATTTTAAAGATGTGGGGTACAATTCAGGATTAGGTATACAAGTGGTCATCGTACAGGTAAAATCTGGGCCTTCCTTTGGTCCCTACTTCGTCTGGTTTGAGGTCAGGTACCCTTATTGATATTGTGTCCCCCATCCCCCCTCACCCCGGCAGTATCCCACTACTGCAAATCCCTTTCTTATTTTTATAGTATTATAGTAAAGGAGAGAACATTCTACGCAGAAGAAAAGTACACATAGGTGGGATTATATCATGCATGTTACATGGTATGTGTTTGAGAAGTAGAAAGGAAGCTGATATTGTAAGTGCTGACCAAGCAAGGGAGAGGGCAGGAGATGAGGCCTGAGTGGTAAGAGGCAGCCAGATCATATAGGACATTGTAGATCATTATTATAATTTGGCCTTTGCTTTGAGAGAATCGAAAAGTCTTTGGTGGGTTTGAGCAAAGCAGTGATGTGATCTAACTTTTTCCTTAATAGGATCTCTTTGATTGTTCTGTTAAAAATAGACTGGAGTGGAAAGGGAATCAGGATCAGAAATAGGGAAATGGGTTAGAAGTCTAGGTGAGCTCATTTTGTCTCATACTTTTAATATTATCTGTTTACTGAAGACTACCACATCTATAATACAGATGCTCCTCAATTTACAATGGAATTACTTTCCACTAAATCTATTATAACGCTGAAAAATTGTAAGTTAAACCATCATAAGTTGAGGACCATCTGTATTTCCTTCGTGTACCTTTTCTTATAATCTTGATTGTAACCTTCACTTGGAGTGTATTTACTTAACATTTCTGAACTCTTGGTCTTCTCTACCAAATTACGATTTCAGCAATCTCCCAACTTAGTAAAAGGCAATGCTATTCCTCTAGTTCTTCTGGACAGCGACATTTGGGGTCATCCTTGACCCTTCTTTTTCATACCCCAAATGACTCCACCAATAATTCCTGTTGACTGTGATTTTAGGATAAGGGCCCAATTGAACCACTTTATTTCTGTTGCCACCTCCTAGTCCAAGCCACCATCATCTCTTTACTGGATGATTATAGTAACTTTTTGACAGGTTTATCAACTTCTGCTCTTGTCTTCCTCTGCACAGCAGTCAGTATTATTTTAAAACAAAAATTATATTCATATTCTGCATATAACCAGCAGTTATTTCCCATCTGACTAGAAGCCAGTCTGCACGGTGGTCTATAAGGCATGATATGGCCCCTGGCTGCCTTTTTAACTTTATCTTCTACTCTTCTAAAGTCATTACTGCAGCCAAAGTAGCCTTTTAGCTCATTATTTTTTGCCTGGCTGTATCTCAGGAATCTGTAATCATAAACTTTCCTATTCATATCTCCAAAATTCTAAAAAGGCAGACATTGTAAATGATAATAAAAATAACATTTGTTGAGTGCTTACTGGGTGCCAGGCCTTTTTTTCATTTAATATTCACAACAGCTCTGCATTAAAGTTAGGTAGTACTAGTTTCCATTTTTATGGAATGGGAAGCTGATGCTTTTGAGAAACTCACCAGTCATTACATAACCAGTAAGTGATGTGGACATGATTTAAACCCATGTTTAATAAATCATTCTACCAGAAAGACACCTACACTTGTATGTTTATCCGAGCACTATTCACAACAGCAAAATTATGGAACAAGCATAGGTGCCTTTTAATAGTGGATTGTATAAAAAAAATGTGGTACATATGCATAGCCATAAAAAGAACCAAATCATGTTTTTTTACAGCAGTGTGGATGCAGCTGGAGGCCACTATTCTAAGTGAATTAACTCAGAAACAGAAAAGTAAATACTGCATATTCTCACTAATAAGTGGAAGCTAAACACTGGGTACACATGGCCATAGAGGTAGGAACAACAAACTCTGGGGAACTCCTGAAGGGAGAAGGGAAGGATGTAGCAAGAGTTGCAAAACTACCTATTGGATACCATGCTTAATATTTGAGTGACAGGTTCAGTAGAAGTACAAACCTCACCATTACACAATATACCACATAGCAAACCTGCACATGCATCCCCTAAAAATAAAATTAAAATACATAAGCGCAAATATATAAATAACCCCATGTTAAGAACTCTAAGTACTATACTGGCTCCGTAGGCATCATGTAGTTATCGCATTTCCAGATGAGTTCTAAGGAGTTTCTTGAGGCTGAGGAAACCAGATATGTCCACATCTGCATCTTCTCCCCAGGCTCCTGCCCCACTAAGAATAGCTCCTAACTTCACTGCTATTATATTAGATTGCATTTGGAAAAAAAAAATCTAATGCCTAGATAATAGTTTAAGTCTTCAAACCATTTAGGTTTTTCCTCTTTAGTCAGTAAATTAGGATTTAAAATAAGCCTACAAAGAGTTCTTTTGTGTGTGGCAAATAAGCAAATGCTAAGTCTTACTTATTTCATCATTTTTATTTCAGAGTGAAATAATTCGAGATAATACTGGCATTTTGGAATGTGTTAAAGAAGGGATTGGAAGAGTGATAGGCATGGGAGTGCCTCATAGCAAACGACTTCTTCCACTTCTTTCCTTGGTCTTCCCTACAGTGCTTCATGGAGTTCTTCATTACATCATCAGCTCAGTTATTCAAAAGTTTGTCCTACTAATTCTAAAGAGAAAGACTTATAATAGCCACCTAGCTGAGAGCACTAGTCCCGTGCAGAGTATGTTGGATGCCTATTTTCCAGAACTTATTGCTAACTTTGCTGCCAGTCTTTGTTCTGACGTTATACTTTATCCTTTGGAAACAGTTTTGCACCGTCTTCACATTCAAGGAACACGCACAATAATTGATAATACAGACCTTGGCTATGAAGTGCTTCCAATTAATACACAGTATGAGGGCATGCGAGACTGTATCAATACCATAAGGCAGGAGGAAGGAGTGCTTGGTTTTTATAAAGGGTTTGGTGCTGTTATAATACAGTACACACTGCATGCAGCTGTTTTACAGATTACCAAAATTATTTACTCTACACTTCTTCAAAACAGCATATGAGATTTAGGTTCCATCACCAGGTAGTCCAGAAGACATAGTCTGGATAATTTGCTATGAAATTATGAGGGGTAAAAGTGAAATACTGAGGAAGAAATGGGTTGAAAAGTGAAATTGGTAGAAAAAGCTCATGCTAATTATCTTGACTTTATAAAGTCATTTATGTACACACATATAACTTCATCCCTGCAAGTTTTCCACACTTAGACCAGCTTGTTGCATAAAATGAAGTCATACATTTTCTGCTTGAACATCAAAATGTAATATCAAAAGCCAAGATACCCAAAAGATGTGAGTTAGCTACAGCATACTTGTCCATACCTAAACCCAGTGTTTCAGTGCCAGCAACTTAAAAATTTGTCATGCATTTATAAAGTTTGGTTTGCTCAGCTAGTTGTGTGAATCGTCATTTTTAGAGCCGCTCTTAAGAGAGGATATAAAATAATCATGACAACGGTGACTGTTTCCACATTTACAAATTGTGTACTTAAATGAAACTCACATGTCTTTTATTTCTGAATGACTTGTCTTACAGGAAACAATTAAAATTCGTCTGGGAATTTGCACCTCTTGCCTACTGTATAGTCATCATTAAATAATAGCTTAAGTTTTTATTTTCTTTCAGTTTTTGCTTAAAGTTTTATTTTCTAAACTAGATGTACATAAAGGGAAAAACAAATTATTCTTATTGCCTTTTATTTAAACTTATTTAGATGAATACTAGAGAAAAAAATACAACGCTTAAAAGAAATATATCTGTGTGTTTAATGGATAAGTGGAAAATAGCACATTTCATCATACAATAAACAAAAAAAAATTAACCAGTTTAATAAAACATTCTATTCTTAAACTTAATTTGGTGAGTTAGGCTCTTTGTATCGTAAAATGATATGTGTCTGATTCATTATTAAACATTTTAAAGTTTAATTCAGATAGATGATCAGTTTTACCACAAACCATTTAGCACTCTGAAACATAGTAGCTTTGCACTGTCGTCATGCAACCTATAATGCATACAAATTGAAATTTATTTTACTTGCCCCAAATCATGGCTATTAATCTGTGATTAATAGTGTTGGAACAAAAATGGTATTCAAAAAGTGTAAAGCAGTATATGAGTAACAATTCTGTATACTATCTTGTGTGTGGTGTGTTTAAATTACTAAAACTTTTTAAATTACTAAAAGTTTTCCATTTTTATATCCACCAAAAGGGGGAAAGTAAAATTAGACACCATTGATCACATTTTTTATTTTATGGTTAATCTATTAGATTGTGGTTTACTTTGTCCAACATATAACATTTAAATTATTTTCAGTCAATGTGGTGTTGGAGAAGTGTAAACCAGAAAATTTCAAGTTTACAAAATTTCTAGAACAGAATCTGAATGGAATCAAGTATTTACTGGTGAAAATCTGTGGAATCTTTTATTTAGCTAGCAGTTAGATATTTTAGAATTATTTGACCAGATGCAGTGGCTCACACCTGTAATCAGAGTACTTTGGGAAGCTGAGGCAAGAGGACTGCTTGAGCTCAGGAGTTAAAGACCAGCCTGGCAATATAACAAGGCATTGTCTCCATAAATAATTAAAAAGCTAACCAGGTATGATAGCACGTGCATTTCCCAGCTACCCAGAAGACTGAAGTGGAAGGATCACCTAAGCCCAGGAAATCAAGGCTGGAGTGTGCCATGATTGTGCTACTGTACTCCAGCTTGGGTGACCATGAGACTCGGGGCTCAAAAAAATAATTTATTTTTTGGAAACTAGCATGAAAATAGTTATATAACTTTATTTTGATATGGAATAATTTTAAGATCAATAGGCTGAGCCACATACAAGTAAGGTTTATTATGTTTTGGGGGGAAGGGAATATGGATTATCATTAAAATTGAAATATGGAAAGAAAATTCTATTTTTTACTGCCATTCCTAATTAGTTGAAACAAAATCTTTAAAGGTCAAGTACTTTAAGCTGACCAAATATGTTTCACTGAATTTAGAAAAGAATAGTAAAACAACCATCAGATCCACTCCCTTTAAAAAATTGTTATTTTTTTTTAACATATGGTTGCCAAATATCCATGGGCTATATTTCTTAAGATAATAGTAGCTCTGAATAATATTTTTAATTCTAAAGATTAATAGCATTGTGAATAAGATATCAGAAAGTTCCACAGGTCCAATGGTCCTTTTATATAAGCCATATTTTGCCTATGGATTTTGTGATTCTCTTGCCTTATATTGCAGGGTTTCATAATTTGAGTGAAATACACTGAGAGCAATTGAATTAATCCCGCGCCTTTGGGAGGCTGAGGTGAGTGGATTGCCTGAGCCTGCGGGTTCGAGACCCGCCTGGGCAACTTGGCGAGACCTCATCTCTACAATAAATAAATAAAAAATTAGCCGGGTGTGGTAGCGCGCACCTGTAGTTCCAGCTACTTGAAAGGCTGAGGGGGAAGGATTGCCAGAGCCCAGCAGGTCGAGGCTGCTGTGTCCGGGAGCAGCCACTGCACTCCAGTCTGGACCACAGAGTGAGACTCCAACTCAAAAAAAAAAAAAAATTGGTAAATATTAATTTAATATAAAAATTTATAAATTGATTTACTAAGTGTATATAGACTTTCCTGAGATGCTGTTTTCAATTTTAGAACCTTTAAAAATCTCCCTAGGTTAATAAGGTTATGTATTCAAGCCTACACTCCCAGCACTAGATGCTATAAATATGAAATAGTAAAAAAACAAGCTAATTTGAAAATGGTTATGGATTGGGGTATTTGATACCTTATCCAGTGTTTTTAGAAACATGCAAAAACTAGAGGTAAGAGTTCTTGCATTTACAGATGTACCTGGCTTCTCACAACTGTCTTTTTTAGCACAGTGGCTTTGTTATAACTACACAAAGCATTTACTTTATTGATGCTTTAATATTTCCATCCAAGTATTCATACATTTGTTCAGAAAATGAAAAAAAAATGCTTTTTTGATATTTATTTTTATCAACAGATCATGGAGGATGTTTGCCCTCCTCCTCCAACAGATTGTGGAGGAATTTTTTGGAACATAAAAGACTACCAGCTCTTAAAAAGATAGCCATGTTTCAATTATTTTTAAACTTATACAAGCAGATAAAATCTCTTGAGAACAACTTACATTACACCAGAATTTGAGTGATACTTAGTGTTGGCATTTCAAGTAGTTTATACATAATATCTCTCTCATAAACTGTGTAATGCCTTAACTCTTGAGTCATTTAGTATTGTTGATAGGGTACCAAGCTGTATAGCAGAGTAACAAAAATTTGTGATTTGACAATGGATCTTAAACAGTATTGTCCTCACCTGGAGATGTTTTGTCTGTGTGTGTGTTTTTTTTTTTTTTAAGTTGTTTTTCTCTTGCTGGTACTTTAAATGTTTTGGGTAAATTGTGAATTGAAAAGTTCAATAAAATATTGAAATAAAATCCCTATTTTTCTGTTACTGATGTCAGAGGACTACTCAGACTGATAGTAAAAGATACTGTATATTTTGTAGATAGAAACGAAGATCAAGAAAAACATGTATGTAAACTTTTGACCCATCATTTTAATATCCTCTAGCATTTTTTTTTTGAGTTGTAGTCTCACTCCGTCACCCAGGCTGGAGTGCAGTGCCACGCTCATGGCCACCCCAGACTTAACCTGCTGGGCTCAGGTGATCCGTCCGCCACAGCCTTCCAAGTAGCCAGAACTACAAGCATGAGCTATCATGCTTGGCTAGGTTTTGTAGAGATGAGGTCTCACCAAATTGCCCAGGCTGGTTTCGAATCCCCTTACCTCGGCCTCCCAAAGTGCTGGGATTACAGACTTGAGCCACCATGCCCATCCTCCTCTAGCATCCTAAAAATGATGTAACTCTAATCTGGCTCAGAAAACAATTAACATAGCTCTTAAAGTAAAGTTTTGAATGAAATACATTTTATAAAAGTTTTACATATTCCCATATTTGATCCTCACAACAGCTCTATGACATTTTTGGAGTTGTGCTTATTACAAAGAAGGGCACAGAGACAGAAAAGTTATGACTTGTCCCACATTGAGCAACTGGGGGAATGAAAACTGCAAAATGGCAGGTAGGCAGCTCCAAATTCCAGTACCTCTATGGAAAAAAACTAAAAACAAAACAAACAGTCAGAATTAACTTTGTCAGAACTCTGAAAACAGTCAAAGGTTTACAGCAACTAAGTGAATACTGGATAAAGAAAAAGGCAACTTAATGGTAGGAAGCTTTGACTTGCCTCAGCTCCCGTCCTAGTGGGCATGGCAGTCTGGAAAACAGCAGCTCATGTTCCCAGTGTGGTTCCAGAAGGAACAGACCAGATGTTACTCACCTGAAGGCAATAAAATAACATACTTATAGTGCTAGAAATACAATTCTTAAGAGATCACACAAGATTTCTAAATCTATCGAAACTACCCTTCAAGAGTGAAGGAGAAATTAAGACATTCCCAGAAACGTGCAAAACAAGGAATGTTGCTCACTTTTGCAGATGCGCCTGACTATTCACACTGGTCTTTTTAGCAGCAGTTTCGTTATAACTTCATAAAGCATTCACTTATATTGATTGGGTGCAGATGCTTTAATACTTTCATTTATTCTGAAAATGAAAAATGCTGCTTTGATATTTGTTGTATCAACTTATTTTGTGGAGGATATACTTCACAATCAGGCAAAAGCTAATGAAGTTTATTAGTAGTAGAACTTTCTTACAAGAAATCAAAGGAGTACCTCAGACTGCAAAGAAAGGACAATAGACAACTTGAAGCCATGTGAAGAAAACAAGAATATAGGTAAATTTAACGATGTAACTATAAAAGCTAGTGTTGTACTTTTAGTTTGTAACACCTCTTTCCTATACACCTACGAGGCAAATACATAGAAATAATTAAAATATTTTATTGTTCACACAACGTACAAAGATGTAATCTGCGACAAGAAACAAAGGGAGAGGAATGGATATAGGTATAGAGTGTTTGTATAGAAATTAAGTTGATATTCAGACTTAGTTGTTACGTGATTGAGATGTTATTTCTAACCCCTGAGGTAAATAGAAAACAGCTTTAAAAATATACAGAAAAGGGAAGAAGAGAAAATGGTACACCACACACACACAAAATCACTTAATAGAAAAAATGCAGTAGTGTAGGAGCTGAGTACAAATGCGTATAAGATATGCAGAAGACAGTTAAATGGCAGAAGTCTATACCGTATCTGTAGTTACTTTAAATGTAAATAAATTAAACTCCAGAGTGTGACAGAAGAATTTAAAAAACATGATTCATCTGTATGATGTCTTCAGGACTCTCACCTGGTTAAAAAGACAACAGAGATTGAGAGAAAAAGATGGAAAAGGATAGTCCAGGTAAATCATTAAAAGAAAGTTGTGGCTATGTTGTTATTGTAGAAAATAGATTTTAAGTCAAAATGGTTACAAGAAACAAGGACATTTAATAGCAGGACAAAAGGGCACGAATGTTCTTACTGATAAATTGCTTCTCAGTTAAATCTGTGCTGGTGTATACAGAGAAGCCTTCTGAGAGGTTTTTTAGGTCTTTCTACTGTCTTCTCCATTCCTTTCCCTTCTCCAACTTGGAAACAACCTCTCTCTCTTAGTTCTTCCTTGTGACATATGGACATTGTGAGCGTCTCTTAATTTCTCTTAATTTTATCCTAGAGATTTTCTCCTAACTCCCACTACACATACATAGATATAGGCAGATGAATTGAACAAATAAAGTTGAATGAATGAATCATAAAATAGTGCATCCATTCTTGTCTACATATTTTAAAATTTGTTTCTTTTTAGCTAAGAATTTCAA